GGAATAACTCCCCAGAAACCTCTGGCCCGAGAGGTTCTGAATTTAAAGGACTAGTTCCTCATTTTGTGAAATACTGTATTTGTGTGTTCTTACTTTACAAATGCAAGCAACTGCTGAGATTGTAATCATTTTATGCAGGGTTTATTAGACTTTATTAGGTTTTTATTTCGTTCTGTTTTTGTTACTTTTATGTTTATATTTTAGACTTTACTTTTTACTTTATACTTAGTTTAGCTTTGTAAATAGTCTAGTTGAATTCTTTGCCTGCCTCGTTGGATCAATAACAGTCTGAATCAAATCTAACTGCACTGTTGCCATCTTGGGATTAATGTACAGAAACAGGTAACAGCCCCAGTCATTTGAACCTGAATCAGACACCATCTTTTAAAATCACTACTGTTAATGTTGAGCTTTAGGTGCCACTGAAGTTGGAACCTGACTTGGAACTGTCTCATCTTCCAGTTCACATCGAACCGTCCGGCTCAGTGCTGCTGCTCAAACCGAGACAAAAAACCAGGGGCTGTTTTCAGTGTTCTGGTTTGGCCTTTATCTGACTGTTGTGCCAACACAATGTTTCCTCAGCATCGCTCTCCTTGTCTGACTCCGATTTCTTACGCACCTGTTCCTGGATGTGGGCTGATGACTGATTAGAAACAGCTTCATTTCTGCGAGATTGGGTTGTTAATAATCAGTATAGGGATGGGGTTCAATTGCATTTTATCAAATTGCAATCTGAATCCTTTCAAATTCCTTATTGTGTCTAAGTAAGAAGTTAGTTTAGGCAAAGTGTTTTTTATTTCACTAAGTGCAGCAGCAAACAAATGTAAACTGTTTTGTGTAATCATGCTAATGCTACAGCAGGTCGTGCTGTCAGACAGCCCAACACTGAAGCATCAGACAGACCCGTGGACACTGTGCTGAGCTGAAGCCTTGTAGGAGACTCAGCGCAGACTCATGAACCCTGTTCTCACTCAGTTTGCTCCTCACTGTGATCTGTGCTGCAGCAGCACAGCAACATTCATTCTGCTGTGTCGTTCAGTCCGTGTCAGCTCAGTAAGTCTCTCCTCCACAATACCCAGAGCAAGAGCCGCAGGGGAACCGGTTGTTGCTCTGCTTCAGGTCTGACGCTCACAGAACACACTGTAACAGCAGCGGGAGGCTGAGTAGGCTGAGGCCGAGCGCTCGACCTCCTCTCATTGTCAACAGTAACACCAGGGCTGATCCTAATATGCTGGATGCTACAGGAACACTTCAACACAGGACTTGTGTACCTTCCTACAAATGTCACATTTTCTGGTTGTTTTGTTGGCTACAGAGAAGTTGGATCAGGCCGCCATGTTAGTTTACGACAGCGGTTTCCTTACAGACTCTTGATAGGTGACATAATACACCTATATATTGTTCCATTTGATTACATGGTGGACTGTACCCGATGAAGACGTAATGTCCAAACATCATATCTGCCAAATAAAACTAGCTTTTTGTGATGCACTGTTTGTGAAGCACTATCTGTTTATGTTTTTGCCAAAAGGGCCTGAGTTCAGGTTCTCTGTGGGGATGTGCACGCACTACCTGCAGTATCTGAGTCAGACCTATTTGGCTGACTCCTAAATTTCCTCGTGCCATCATACTCTAATACACCGTCTACCTGGGGGAAGCAGCGACTGTGGTTCGGTGGATAGAGCAGTCATCTCCCAACCAGGAGGTTCGAATCTCAGTACCTGCAGTCCACGTGGCAAGACACTGAACCCCCAAGTTGCCCCCGATGGTTAGAGCCATCAGTTGAGTTGGCGCCGCAGATGGCTGCCTCGGTTCTGTACTGGAAACAAATTCCTTGTGTGTAACATACTTGGCCAATAAAGGTGATTATCCTTATCCAGCATAGGGGACCCTTCGAATTCACAGTGAACGGCAAAGTTCATGTTTTCAGGCCTTTTTCAGAGATTTACGGAGTAGTTTTTTATTTATTATTATTTCTATTTTTTTGGTGGAAAAACCTGACCAGCCTGACACTGGCCTGTACCTCCATATCCCATAATGCTCGTTGTTTATGCCCATGTCCCATGATCCTCTCTGTGGCCCCTCCTGTTAGGCCTCGCGGTGGCAGCGGCCCTGGAGCCCCCAGGAAGCAGAAGGAGTTGCCGTCAGAGCCTCCATTCACGGCATACGTTGGAAACCTGCCGTTCAACACGGTGCAGGGAGACATCGACATCATCTTCAAAGAGCTGAACATCCGCAGCGTCCGATTGGTCAGAGACAAAGAGACAGACAAGTTCAAAGGTCAGAGGAGTCCCATGTCATGGACACTGAGCAGTAAAACGTTTAATTAAACTCATCTGAAAAATCTAAGGTTAACTACTTCTTGTTGATCTAAAAGGTTCTGGAGTCTTCACTCACATTTCATGATCCTCACCAACAGATGGAGTCGTCGACTTTGAGCTTTTTTCAAGGCCAAACAAGAAACTTTTAACACCACAACATAGAAAAGAAGTCATTAAAGTGCTCAGAAAAAACAAAACCCTACCTTTTCATGATAAGTGGACTCCATTGGCTGAGGAAGATCATGTAATACGAGTGAAAGCTCCAGAGCAGCTGTGACTTTTATTGGCATTATTTTGCACGAAGCAACAAAATGAAGAAAGAAGGACAAAAGAATAGAAGTGACTTGTAGGTTTCTTGTTCACCCTTTAGGTTTCAGGCTAAATCTGACGTAACAAGCTCTGGACTCTGGTCTGCTGGTCTGTACATGAACAGTTTTGTTTTTTACTGTTTCAGGTTTTTGTTATGTTGAGTTTGAAGATTTGGAGTCTCTAAAAGAAGCTTTGACGTACGACGGTGCTGTGAGTATCTGAATCAGATGGTTTATGCTACAGAGCAGCATCGCTAGCCAGGCTCTTTTCACACGTTGTAGTGCTTCTACAGCTGGGGCCAAGAGCAATGCAAGAAAACATGGCGCTTTGTTCTGTGGACAAGGCAGCATCTCTTTGCTGCAGCGGGTGGTACGAGTGTTATTCATAAGATTACATAGAGGTGTGCGATATGACGCTATTGAATTGTGAACGATTAAAATGTCTGTGCAGTCTGACTTTGTAGAGAGATCGTTTGTGTCGTGCTACAGCGCACATTCTATCAATTGCCTGCCTGACGTACCCTCGCGCTCCCTGTTTGCTAACATAGCGGCATGGATGTCACTACGGAGGACTCTATCCCTAAAAAGGATTTGGTAATATAGAGCTGGTTTGGATTTTCTGAGAGAGGACTCTCTGCAAGTGCCTCAGCTGCAACTAGACAGCCAATGGTTTCATGGCCAAAACAAACAACTAATGACAGCTTTGACAGTTTGACAGGATAGGTAAGCCCTGGAAAGAGGTAACCAATGGCGTGACTTCAGATAACGTTGGGTGTACTTTTCACTACTGTTCAGTAACTTGTCAAATAATCTTAAAAAAAACCACCGTGAAAAGGAGCGATGAGAAGATCATGGAGTGTGATCCTACCTGAAAAACATTGTGAAATGATATTTTTGCTCTGTGGCCCACCCCTAGATTACATCATGGGTCCCTGTTATTGTCCAATTGCACTTTGTAAATGCTCGGTCCGTGGGGGCAGTGCAGACCTGCCAACCCGTTCTTGGGGGTTACCCCGCTGAAGGTGGTACTCCAGGTCTGTCTTTGAGGTTGGCAGGTCTGTGAGTGTAGGGCTGTGGGAAGTCCACATGGAGGCATGTGTAGCCAGATGTCTTTGAACAGCTCAGTCATATATCCACTGTCTGTAACTCTGACGTAACCTCTGACCCCTGCAGTTGCTAGGCGACAGGTCACTGAGGGTGGATATCGCAGAAGGACGACGGCAAGAACGAGGAGGCGGCTTCGGCTTCAGGAAAGACGAAGGTAGAGGTATGAACACCCAAATCTCAATAGGAATAGTTCACTAACCTGGGGTGCAGAGTCTAACGGCTGTGTTTCCTCTCTGAGCTCTGTCGTTTGAATCTTTTCCTCTGCCATCGTCTCAGCATAAACCTGCTCGACCTGAAACCTTTCACACTGATGAAATCGAGCTTTTGAAACTGAATGTGATATAAATGCAGTTTGAACGGCGTCTTAATGAGAGTGTCCAAATTATACAGAACCAGTCCTCAGCCTTTAACCGAAGGTGTTCTGGCACCAGGTGCACATGTGACCCACCCTGTGCCTCCTGTCCAGCTCACAGGTTTCAGAGGTCGAAACTGTCTCCAGTGACAACGGCACCACAGCGCCTACGTCTGTTCTTACAGAAAACTGCGGAAACGTGTTGGATGTTTCCATTCAGTTTCACAACCTTGAATGTTTTCTGGGTGGACTTAAATAACCCTACACAGAAGGACTCCTCCTCATCTTTTTATCATTTCATCCTCACCTGCACAGCCCCCACCCCCACTTGACTTAATTAAGTAGAACAGTAAAACTGGATTTATAGGAATTCACCTCCTTCAGTCACTGCTTCTTCTCTCTAACACCTCCTCTGATTGGCTGATGAGCCACTAACAAGCTCCACCTCTTCAGCACTGTCTGTCCAGCTACTTCCAGAAGGACGTGCCACGTGCCTCCTCTGTTTCCTCCACTCCTTGTTTTCTCTCCTCCTCCTCTACCTGTTTCCTCTTCCATCTTTTCTCTTTTCTACTCTCGCTTTTTGTCTTCCTCCTTTTCTTCTTCTCTTCCTCCTCTCCTCTCCTCCTCTCTCTGCCTCTCATTGTCAAACTCCCCCTGTCCTCTGCAGGACGAGGAGGGTCTCGAGGAGCTCCCAGAGGAGGAGGAGGAGGAGGACGTGACTCCCGTGAGGACTTCTACGACCAGCCGGGAGGAGGTGCGATCTAAGAGTTCAGCAGCCAACCAGTCAGAACTGCTGGACATCAGCCAATCAGGCAGCAGGAAAATGTCCCTGAATTCAAACTGATTTGAACTAGAATATGTTAAGATCAGTGCCACAAACATGAGCTCCACAAGAGCTGTAAGAATCTGGCAAGCTAAACTGTACCGCACTAAAGCAAAACAACAGTAACTCTTCAAAGGGTAAACGTCGAGGTGGGCTTGCTCCCTGAAGTTGCTAACAGCCTCTTAGCAAACACAGACCGGGTCATCGCTCTTTCTTTGCTTCTGGTCTTTCAATATCCTTGCACTTTCAAAGTAGTGGTGGATGAAACGTGGCTTTTCTGAAGCACTGACTCACTGTGGTTACGCCCACATCACAGGATTTTACATTCACTTCTGATGTTTTAGTCTGATTTGATCTTTGTGTTGAGTGCTTGTGGGGTCGCATCAGTTGTCACGTGTGTCAACACCTTAGCTGCAACAAACCAGTATGTAGCTGACAAAATAATGACAACGATATGCTGAGCTAAACTACACAGCTACAGTAAATAGAGGTGTGAATCGCCGCTCTCGTCAAAATACCATGCTGTATCGATTCTCTTGGCCAGCGATGTGTTTTTATTAACAAAGTTGTAACAAAAGTATAAATTTAAACATTTGAGCTTTTCTGTTCACTTTCAGGCGCTGTTTAAATACAAATAAGGACCAATGACGACCGTCCAATTCAACAGGCTTTTTGAGATGAAGCATTTACACTGTCACACATAAAAAATAGCTGAAAATCATATTCCCTACATTGCAGTGGGAGTTTTGTTTGAACCTTCACATCCACACTTAGCGCTGTGTGTGTCCTTTTTAATCCAGAATACGTCCACAGCCACGACTTAGTTTTGATGGGAGAGTTTACCTGTATATTTGTCTTGGCTGCTACAGGTCAAGGCCAGGTCTCATAGAAGGCGTTTTGTCACTCGGCCCCTCTCAGGCAACAGATAAAACTCTGTCAGATGTCAGTGCACATCGATTCAGAGACAGGAGTGTGAGACATGTCGCCCCTGGAACCCTAAGTTTTCTACGCTCAAGTTTCTTCTCTCTGGTGCATTTAACAAAGCGTAATCCCGACAGACCGTCTGTCCGCTCACTGTCCTGCTGTCAAACAAGCCGCTGTTCTGACGACAGTGGCGCTGCACAGAGGTCGGAGTCAGTGTGGACCGAACAGATCAGGGTGCTAGCTGCACCGCCTGGTGCTTGTTATTCATTTTGAAAAGAACAGCACTTCGTTACACCCTTAACAGTAAACTAGTTAGAAATCGTAGACTGGGCTGCAGTGAACTCCAAACAAAGCTTTCCTAACTGATTGTTCAGGTGTCGACCAGGTGCCAGGGAAACAGCCCCTTTGATTGATTTTGGTTTTAAACTCAGAGGAGCACACAGTGTTGACCTGTGACCCTAGAGCCTAGCTCCAACCCATGAAGTTGCTGGACTCTGCCCGGTGTTATTCCCCATCATGCCTTTCATCTTGCCCACCTCATGCTCATCAGTCACCTTACAGGTTCCTGCAGGACACCTGAGGCTGTCCGTTTGCTCACTCACCTGTTTGTGCGCCCACCTGTCTGTGTCCGCAGGTTATAGAGATGACGACTACATGGGGGGGCGGAGTCGAGGCGGGGGCAGTCGTCCCAGTGACAGAAGGGGGGGAGGTGTAGGAATGAGTCGCTTCAGAGACGGACCCCCCCGTGGAGGAACGACAGACTTCAGGGAACCGTCTGAAGGTGACACAACTTCCTGTTTCCATTTTTTAACTTGTTACTTAATCTTAGAATAGACTTGTATTACTTTGTCCAACAATTCTTGAAGTATTCACTTCATATTCAGTTTCTTAAATTGATGATTGTTTTCTTTGTACAAAGGTAGAAAGAAAAGGTTTTCAGTGTTTCCACTGACCAACTTAATTGCATTTTCTAAATATAAACATGTAGAATTTGATGCCTCCAACACACTCACAGAAGTTGGCACAGAGGCTGAACAAGACAGAAAGGTTTGTAGAATATTCCAGGAACACTGTTCTGGGAGATTCCAAAACCAGCAAGCTAACTGGCAACAGGTGGGGGGATCATGACTGGGTATAAAAGGAGCAGCCACCAAAGGCTCAGTCTTTGCAGTCAAGGTTGGGCCATGGCACCGCTTTGTGCCAAACTCGATGAGAGAACTGTCAGTCAGACCAAAAGAATATTTCTCAGCACCAGATTGCAAATGACAGAGGTCTTTCACCATCTTCAGTTCATAGCTGGAATAAAGGTTTTCTAATCTAATCTAATACAGGGAAAAGATTCAGGGAATTGGGTGAATCTCGGTGCGATAAGTCCGACGGCCAAGACCACTGTTCGATGTGTGTGACCCTCGAGCCCTCAGGAGCCACTGCATGAGAAAGCCTCATGCTACTGTGATGAGTACAGCCACATGGGCTCGGGAGGATTTTGGAAAACGGTTGTTGTTTGACACAGTCTGCTGTTGCATCCAGAAATGCAGTTTGTCTTGTAGTTTTTAATTTAGCTCTTTATGAGTTAAGTTTCTCAGCATCTCTGTAAATTAATGTCACTGCTCAGTGTTGTATTTGTCAGTAAGTAGTGCTGGTTATTTTTGAATTCCTTGCAGTCGCATCCCGACAGGACATCTCCATGTCAGCCATTTGCCAAATATGAAACGCCTGTTTGCTCATTGGTGTGAATGTGTAACCCCATCTCCTGTGGTCTCCTGATTGTTTGTGCTTCCAGAGGAGCGTGCACAGCGGCCTCGACTGCAGCTGAAGCCCCGGACCGTCTCCGATCCGCTCAACCAGGTTGCCAACCCGAATTCTGCCATCTTCGGCGGAGCCAAGCCGCGAGAGGAGGTGATCACCAGAGAAAAACCATAAGAGACTGAAGGCCGTGAGGGCCGGGGGTGAGGCGGGAGGGGGGTACGAGAGTGAACGGATAGAGGACTTTAACAAAGAAGAACGAAACGCCAACGAGTTGTTTAATCGCCACAGTTAGCATTCCTTCCTGCCAGACAGACAGACAGACAGACAGACAGACAGACAGCGAGCGAGCAGACGCCGCCCTCCTCTTCTTCTGCTTCTACTTCTCCTCCTTCTTCTTCCTGTTTGAGTTCAGTTTGAGCAGAATATTTATTCGTAGTCGGGTAAAGATGAAACACACTGACACTGATGAATAATAAACCTGTAAACACAAACACAATGAGCAACTTGTGAATGCATGTCCAAACTTTGGGTTTCTCAGCCCCGCCCCCACATCTGCTTACTGTGATGTCGTATCTGCTTCGTCCAACCTTCCCTTTCTCTGGGTCAAAGGTCACCCACCAGTTCCTCAAAGCCCAGAGGTTACACTTGTAAAGTTTTATCCTCTTTTTTTTTTCTAGTTCTTCCCCGCCCCCTGACCCTGATTGGTTGAGTCACAGGCAAACCTTTTTATTTCTTTGCTGTCGCTTGTTGTCATGGTGACTCATCAGTCAGATTTTCAAGCTTTTATCTAACAAATGTTTTCATATTTTTGTCTACAAGTGTTTCTCGGTGTTTGTTTTATTTTGCTTGTTGACCCCCAGGTGGGTGGGGCTTAAGCTGCGTCAGGACAGACTTCTGGCTTTTGACAAGCTCCGCCCCCTCAGGTGTCTGCAGCAGATCCACCTGGTGGAAACGCTTTTGTAAAATAACGAACGTTGACACCTGAAGCTTTAAAGAGATAATGATCTGATTCCTGTTCCCATGATGCACTGTTGCGAGGATGACCTGGTCAGGTGATGCTTCTGTAGCAGACAGAGCAGGTGTTGTGTTTACTGTCTGCTGGATTTTCCAATTCTGTGAGGGGAAATCAGTTTCTTACCAGAAAACTAACTCTGCGGGAAATGAATTGAAAGTCATCAGATTTGTGATGTTTTCCAGAAAGTGATGATGAAGGATCCACAGTCTCTGTTCTCTTCACTGGTCTGTGGAGTTGTCGCTGTTTCTGCTGGTGGAAACCGAAAACCTGCTAAATGAATCAGTCATGAGCCAGACGTGTCCTGTCCAATCAGAGCGCGGGTTATTAAAATGTCTTCCACTGATCCACACTGGAAATTCACCTGAACTGAGAGCAAAGAATATGGAGGAAAATAATTCAGGGACAGACAGACAGGGGTCTTTTTTGGGGGGTGGGGGGGGTCTGTAACTCTTTTCTTTTTCTTTTTTTTGGCTCATTTTGTCCTTTGTCTTTGACGAAGGCCCTCCCTCGGCTGAACAAGTTTTTCAGTTTGACAAGCAACTGAAAAGAAAAACATGTTCATGGAAGGAAGGAGAGCTGTTAAAAAAAGACAAAAGGCTTCTTTAGTTTTTCCTTTTTGTCTGTAATTCAGTGTTTCCTTCGTGTTGTTTTTGCCTTATTTTTTTACACGCTTTTCTGTTTTCACTGCTTAATAACAGAAGAGGCGATTATAGAGTAAAACGGGATAGAAAGGTGGAAATGCAACAAAAAGAGTGAAACAGGAGTGTTTTCTTAATCCTTAATGTCTCCCTTTTATTCCTCCGTTTTTCCTGTTTGTCGTCCTTTTCTCAGACTCTTGGTTAAATTTTTAAACAGGACAAGTGAAGGGAAGGAGGGCAGGAGACAAGGTGACATGGTTTTCTAACTTGACCTCCCCGTATTGTCTTCTCACCTGTCTGTGCTTGAATACAGCACCCGCAGACCCCGACCACACGGTGGCGCTAACAACACGTGTCGCCAGCACAAACTAACTCGAGGTTGTTATTTCAGTGTGGATCAGGAGGAAGACGACCTCCAGCGAGTCCGCTCTGTGAAATTGGAATCGCCTGAAAAAAATCTGAATGATTAATGCTGGAAGTCTGAAGTTTGCTTTGTGGTTGAAGCCGTAAAGTGCGCGGTCCTTCATCGTCATCTTCAATCTGTGGGCAAACTGGGAGAACTGAATGTGGACGCACACCTGGTCCAGGTGGATCAGGAGAACAGGGCTGAAACCTTCAGTCTGCGTCGCTTTGTTTGCTGATTAAACTTCGTTTTCCAGGAGGAACTTCTCTGACTGTACTATAGAAAAAACAGCTGTTTTAACTTTTTGTTCTTTTTCTCCTTCACAGTTTATGGCAATAAAACTATCATCGTCCTACATCGGCCGGAATGTGTCTGATTTCAGGGTGGGGGGCAGTTCCTCGTTCTGATTTCTATTTTCTCTTCCACATGAACAAATAACACTTGTTCTCTTTCTCCCCGTGTCTGTGAGGACTGGGTTTGTTTGAACACTTAGTTCCAGCTTAGTCAGAAAACATGAACCGTGTCAAAGAACTCCTACGTCCGTGGGACGTTACAGCAGTGTACTCGGATCCTGTACTGAAGTACTAACACCACACTGAACATCCTCCAACACGAGTCAAAGTCGTTCCCTGAAAATACAACGGAAATATTTATCTATGGAGGACAATTAGGGCCACTGTAAAAAAAAAAAAAAAGTTCTGGCTTTAAACTTAATTTTTTTACAGTGGCCTCTTACGTGGTTATTTGTAAAATTAAATACTCAGAAGTAAAAATTCCCGCCTCTCGCCCAGTGCCAGCTGGGATCTGCTCCAGCCCCCCGACCTGTTCAGGTGGAGCGGTGGATAATGGATGGATGGAAAGCTTGTCCCTACAGAACAATGGCCTCTGTCAGTTTGATTTGGCGCTGATGAAGCAGGTAAGTACTAGTACCCACTCCGTTAAAACACTGAAAGTATGTTGTCTAAGTACTATCACGGAAATGTTAAAAATACTACTGTATCACTGTGATCAATTTTAATAAAGTATGCAACTGGATCATTAAAAACGAATGTATTGTTGGAGTTGGTTGAAGTGGAGCTACTTTTTCCTATGACTATTGGTTAATCTGGTTTGTGAGTCCTGTCCAACTGCATGGACTGACCCATCGAACCAGTGCAGGCCTCAGCAGGCGAGCTCAAACGATTCAAGACGAAGCAGCAGCTCGTTTCATTCAAGCAGCTGAAGCCATGAGATGTTGAGTTTTAGCAAAAAAAAAAAAAAAAAAAGACATTTATTGATTGATTTTTTTTTTGTGTGTGTGTATTGTTTCAGCTAAAACATTTTTGATGGACTCCATGTTTGGTTGGTAAAAATATTCATTTGTTAAGTAACTTCAGCCAATTGATGTCCTGCATTCAAACTTTTACTCAAGTACAGAAATGTTGGTAAAGGTGGAGCTGATGTGAAGTACTGGGCAGCTCGTCAGTCCCACCCGGGATCACTAAAGTCATGTTTTACAACTTCATACAGCGTCGCATAGTTTAATCTTCTAGAACATATTATTCTATAGTTTGTGGAATGTTGATTACCGCTGTTGTGCGCGCTCGCGCGTGCGTCACTGTGTACATACAGTAGTTGACCTCTTCCTGGTTCGGTGCTGTTGTCATCCGTCTTCACTTTGAGTCGTTTCTGTTTTCATTTGTTCACTTTTACTTCCCCAAAGGAGCTAAACGGAGCCGTGATGCTCAGAAACGAACAGCTGGAAGGTTAAACCACTAGTTAGTTTGTTAACTAGCAGTGACTCGTGGTTAGCTGACGGCTAGCTGTAGCAGCCCTGCCATTAACAGGTAAGACGGTTCTCCGGGTCGATAGTCCTACTGGTTATTAGTTGGTTACGTTGCTACCGTAAGTAGTTCAACTTAGTCAACTCGTTGCTGTTGTTGTCTTCTTTGTTGGTGTGTGTTTGTTTGACTCTACGGTGTTTGTAAAACTTGAGACACACACTTTACTAACTAGCTCAGTGTTAGCCCAACCTGTAGCCTGCTAACAACCCAGGGTACTTTCCAGACTCCACGGGCCAGACTCCGTTAACATATGGTTGAATTTAAGGGATTTCTGTTCACCTGTGAACAGCTAGCTGTTTCTTCCAAAGTATAACACATGTTTTAAATACGTATTATTTAGAGATACTTACGGCGTGTAGTTAACACTAAACGGTTTTGTCTTGACTACATATGCCGTTAAATTTGAAACTTATAGTTGGAGCCAAGCAACGTTAAGGTAAATGCGTTTCCCGTGGTAACAGCCAAACTCTGCTCTGCCTACAGCCCAGATCTGCACCTGACGACTTGTTAAACAAGAATCGTGCTTTGTAAAATAAATTCAGCGTTATTTATTTATCGTTATATGTAAACCTATTTCATTAGGTAAATTCCATGACAGACTTCGGGTGGCGAGGGAGGACCATAAACCTATGGCTTTTACGATGTAGTTTGGCCAACAGTCATTTGCGCATTGGTGCAGGCAGTAATGATGGTGTAGTGTATAAAGGTTATTAAGTAAAAGTTATGTGTTAAGTGTGTTCGTGTCATTAATAGATACGCTTCTGAGCCGATCCCTACTGGCGGGGAAACCTCCGTTAACGTATTTCCAGATTTACCGGTAAACGGCTGCTCAAACACAAGTGACCATTTTCACACTGTCACTACATGTAAACGATAATATCTTCACTAGCAGCACTGGTGTGCCCGATAAAGCACTTTGAACGTGATTATTAGCGTCGTGCTTCCAAAATAGCAGCGTTTACCAGAAGACCTCGGTAATATATAAAGTGCCCGATGACAGGCGCGTAACACAAACACGCAGGTTTTAACTGTGTAGTTTGGTGGACAGCCATTTGTGTACAAGGGAATATTTTATTGACCTTAACAGTGTTACAGCGTGAAATACTTTATTAAATTCATATTTGTGTACTAAGGTATTTCCAAATACCTATTTGACCCAGTTTACACATATTAATAACTAATATAATCATGTCTGGCTTTGGGAACTTTGAGGACAAATTTAGCACAAGATCCCAGCAATATGTAAATGTTTATTTTACAGTAAATGTAGGTCAAAAGTATCTCATGATGAGAGCGAAACAGAATTGTCGGGCTTTGCTCTGGTTTGCTCTGCAGTATTTTGTATGTATTTTGATCCTTCACGTCAGTGAAGCTAACAAATCTAGAATGTAAAAATGCCTTGTTTTATTTCCACACATCTGGTGCAATCGCACAGCAACAGAACACACAAAAAACCCACTAACAATCCCGCTACAGCCCACCTAGAGGGGGGGATCCCACCAAGGGGCTCTCCACACCCAAAGCTACAACAAAACGTCTTACAGTCACTGTGTTTTTTTCCAGGCATGTGGGCGTCCTGCTGTAACTGGTTGTGTATGGACTCGAGTGACGGTGAACAGGCCAGTGAAGGTGATAGACATCAGTCCTACACGAACTCTGCATTCAGTAGTCATCCATCTCCTTCTCCACCTGAGCACAGCTGTAAGGCCTGTGGGGGACCCTTCGACACACCTGCTAAGAAGGTAGCCCCACCCACGGACAATGAATTAAAAGAAAAGTAAACCACGGTCAGGGTTCAGGCTGGTTTGTCAGGAAGGTGGCAGCTGGCTTTGGACACTTTAGTTTAATTGCAGTAAAATCAGGCGCAGCAAACATCCTTAAAAAGCCTGAAATATGATTTTGTTGGGTCTTAAAAATGATTGAGTAACCATATAGACAGATTAAAAACTTTATTAATCCCCAAGAGCTTGTTTGGTCACCATTTACACACTAGACTACAACACCACCAACAACAAACAAGGAAGAGAAGAAACAAAAACCAGTTTATACAATGTGACATTTAGCTGCGGCTTTGTGGATGGACCTGGTCTGCAGCAGTGCTGGAGTCGGGAAGCAGGAGAACACTTAGACAGCCACAAAGCTGTTCTTGTTTATAGGTGTCAGACCCACAGACCTCCTCGTTGTTTGGTCCAGACCCACAGGTCCCCCCTCGTGCACCCTCACAGACAGGAAGATGTCACCTCGTCAGAGTCTCAACTTGTTTCTGGCAGATCCTTGTGTTCATCTTTTCATCCTTCTGGAGTTCCCGCATCATCACTTCTGATTTGAAACCACCACTGTGGGTGATTTACAGATCTGAACCGAGCAGACTGAACGTCCTTACAGGATGATTTTTGGACAGTTTTTCCCTTGCAGTTCTTGACACATCTCTGACTTGAGTCTCATGTATTTCTTTATAAATGTGGTCACTGTGGCTTTATGGCTCGTGCTAACTTTGCACTCTCCACTTCTGTTTGAGATTCAGGGAAATGAGGACTCAACAAGAGCAACAGCAGCTTTGCAAATAACACACCAGCTCTTTGATTTATTGCTTTTATTTGATATTTGACAAACTAGATAAGACAGCACATGCAAGGACAAGAATGTTGTAGTTTTGTGGTGTGCACCTTAATACCACCAGACGTGAAACAAATGGATGTAAAGAGTCACAAAAAATGGAACATAATGAAAGCACACACAAAACTACTAGAAACCATGTGATGGCATCCTTCTGGGGGTCCTGTGTAGGAATGTGGGGGGCTTTTAACCTGTGCCCAGGGGTCTGTTCATGCTCGAAATGTGAAAAGTGTTCAAGTCAGTCTGACGGTGCAGGAACATGTGGTTACTACAGTCCACCTCTCTCTCTCTCTCAGCACGTGTGTGTCGACTGTCAGAAGAACTACTGCAGCCGTTGCTCTGCCCAACAGGAGCCCCGCCCCCGCCTATGTCACACCTGTCAGCGTTTCTATGGCTACCTGCTCGAGCGGGAGGGGCTTATGAAGCTAAAAGTGAAGGAGCTCAGGGACTACCTGCACCTGCATGAGGTCTCCACACACCTGTGCAGAGAGAAGGTGAGCTCCTTGACTGCCTGACAAAATTAATCAACAAACACACTAGTTAATCAGTTTCCTGTTTTTCAGGAGGAGCTGGTGGAGCTGGTCCTGGGTCAGCAGTCTTCACCGTCCAGCGACTCCACCACCTCTGAGACTCTGACATCCGAGCCCCCCTCTGTGACTGCTGATCCACCTGACCTAACCCCTCACGTCTCCACTTTGACCCCAGACATCACCACGCTCACCTCGATCCTGAACCATGATCCCACTGCTGCACAGCCCGAAGGCCACACCCCGCCCACAGAGACCGCCCCTACTGAGTTGGAGGTTCAGGATGAAGACCAGGTAAAACCAGAACAGCAATTTGTACTGCATTGTACTTCTGTAGACTGGGAAACCAGTCGTGGTGTGGTTTTTTATTCCAGCGGGTGTGAGAAGACCACAGAGGTCTCGGTTCTTGTCTTTACGAGCATAAGTAATTCACTCAGTCACACATGAAATGTACAGAATGTGAACCGGGATGACTTTGAATCTTTTATCCTGTTTTCTGTTAATAATAGACCTGCTGATGTGACTGTGACTTTGTGTGAGGGCTTATCAGAGTTTCTGTCTCTCTGAATCTGAGTCAGGTCTTTTTTTTTGTCTCGTTGCTTTCTGGAAAACCTGGGACTTGTTCTGTCAGTCCATGATTATATTACTAAAATCCTGGAGCCATTGATCTGTCCTGGAATGGTTTGTAATGTTTCACCAGCTTTCAGAGGCATCACAAACATTCAGGAGGAGTTCAGAGATTAGAGTTTAGTTGATGTCTGGTGTTGGAGTCTGCATCTTGTGACTAACTTTGTCTCCTTTGTCCATCTGGTCCAGACCTGGGACACAGAGGAGGCCACGGAGGAGGTTCTGATTTCAGGTCGCAGGGCCTCTCTGTCCGACCTGAGCTGCCTGGATGACATCGAGGCGCTGAGTGTCCGACAGCTGAAGGAAATCCTTGCCAGGAACTTTGTCAACTACAAAGGCTGCTGTGAGAAGTGGGAGCTGATGGAGAGAGTGACTCGTCTGTACCAGGACCAGCAGATCCTGCTGGGTGAGTCAGGTGCTGGTTTGATCCACAAACTATGTCAGACAAAGATCTGTGAGTGAAAGACGAACTCGCTGTGCTTTGTCTTTCAGCTGCCAACACAGTGAACGCTTCAGGTGAGTTTTCTGTTTTCTCTGAAGTTCATCAGACGCCACACAACAGTACACTGCAATAAAACTGTCAACAGTAAAACAAGAATGAAAAGTAAAAAACACTTTAGAATAATGGATTGTTTCAGTAACTGACTTGAGTTTATTGGTTCATTTCTTTTAAACTATGGAACTGTGCCATAATAATTAGTGATTGAAAGACAATCTACAACCATGTTGATAATCCGTTAATAATTTAAGCTTCTTTTAAAGCAAGGCAAGTTTATTTGTATGGCACACACACAAAGGTTAGATTACTTAAGAGAACGAGGAAAGAAACGAGAACACTGTGCAACAGAACACAGTTCTTCTCTGATTACTTTGTCAGACTGTAAACACTCAGATGGATCCCACAGAAACACCACAGCGTTACCTGAGGTCGATTGACTGAGCTCCACCTCCCACAGGAAGCAGGTGAAGGTCCAGATTGTGAGCAGGTTCACGTTTGATATCACCAGAGAGAGTAGGTTTATCTGCTGCCGTTTTGCTCCCCCGGTTTTCCGCCATTTCCTGCTGTAGTTTGGCATCTGAGTGTAAATTGCCATGAGGACGGCGAGTGACAGTACCAAAAATGTCTTTCACTCTGAATATTTGCTGGTTTTCTAAGTTGTCCATTATGTAACCTGAATATCTTTTGGAGCTTTGGTCATGCAAAACATGACATCTGAACTGGGATGGATGCGTTCTAGTGTTTTCTGACATGTTATAGACAAAATAATAGCAAGATAATGAAAAGAAAATTAGTTGCCTCTAACGTGTTCTTAATGACCATAATCTGATGCCTCCCAGTGCTTTGTACATATGCTATTTATTTTTCTTTATCCTATTATTTGTTAATAATGTGAATGTTACTATAGTGAGTGAGTGGCGTGTACGTGTCCTTGTGTCGCCCTCTAGAGGCCAGTGGTGGCGGTGCAGGTCCGGAGGAGAACCTCTGTAAGATCTGCATGGACTGTCCCATCGACTGCGTCCTGCTGGAGTGTGGTCACATGGTCACCTGCTCCAAGTGCGGTAAGAGGATGAGTGAGTGTCCCATCTGCCGCCAGTACGTCATCCGAGCCGTCCATGTCTTCAGGTCCTGAACACACCAACCGCGACCTCAGTCCAGGTACACCAGTCTGAATATTCCCCACCAAACGAGTCTGATCCTAGTTTAACCATCAATCTTCTCCAGTCAGTTTAACCAAAGTCGTTATAGATTTATTTTCATTTTATTCACGACAAAGGTCAACCAATATTTTGTGTACTGCCTCCAGTCCCAGTTTAACCAGTCACAAGCTGCTCCCAGTTTGATTTATTTGAAATTACAAAACATATCATTTGAGTTTTTGTACATCTTGTTTAATTGTGAATATGGGTTTTTCATCCAGCTCGAGTTTAACCAATAAATCCAGTCCGCCCATGCCGACTTTCCAGACCTAACCTACTCTACTGTACTAACACAAAGCGTCCCTGAACCCTGTCCTCACCCAAGCAAAGAGCAGATATGTGGCTTGACACACAGCCTCTGCATTGTTTGCGCTCAGGTTGAGCAGCGGCTGGTCCAGCTGTCTAGTTCTCACTGACAAAAAGCCAGATCCAGCCTGCTTTCATTTTCAGTTTAACCAGTTTAAATTTATCCCCCATTAACCCTTTAAACACTGTACCTTTTCACAAACTCACAGAGCTCAATTTTATATCTCAGTGGTTCCAGTGATAAATTGTATTTAACACTTGTCATCACACCTGAACAGTTTGGAGCCCAGAGTCTGAGCCTGACTGACTGTCATCTTCCCTCTGTAGGACTGATCGTCTTGAAGCAATAAACTGCAAACAAATCTTCCTCAAGAGGATGCTCCACAGAGACAGAATGCTTTTACCTCTTTTGTTCTAGTGTAAATAATACATGTGGTATGACCATGTCTAAGAATGTATGAAGTGACCTTATCTGACCATGACACTGCAGAGCTGCTGTTTGGACACCAACACTGAACCTACAGACTGACTCTACAGATCACATCTCTGAACCCTTTAACTCACCAATCGAGAATCCTCTGTGCCTTTGTCAGCTTGTCACTGCCTCCATCAGTCCTGCTCGCTGTGAAAGGTAGAGTGAAGGTAAAACCAGGACTGAGGTCACATCGCCTTACCAAGAACTCAGACTGTGTACTGCCTGCTGTGAGTTTACATTGTACACATAACTAAAGGTAGCCCTCCATGGTATCGGGACCAGCAGCGGCCAACCCGAGATGGTCTGGAAGCTGAAAGCTCCTCTACTCTGATGTCAGCCTTATTGTTGACTCATCCATTTAAAACCTTTAATCACAGGTTGAAGAAGCACATTAGTGTGGTTGTAGGTAACTTTACATGATCACTTCATTACCAAGTGTAACACATTTAGTTTGAGGTTTAAGGATGTATTTTCGCTGCCATTCCAGTAGATGCAGTTCTCCATCCATTTCTGCTGTGCACTGGTTCCAACTGTTTTGTCTTGTGACCATTTACAACAAAGCTGTGTCCTTTTGCGGCCTGTGAACAGTTCACATAGGTTCACAGTTGTGACCGATTCTGCCAAAGAGTGATTCTTTTATTTGGCCTCAAGATAAAATTGTTCAGCAATTCTTAAGGAAAAACAGGAAGATTAGAAAAGAACCTGAAAAAAGAGGCAGATGCTATTTTTCCTCGTTCACACACTTTAAATTCTCTGGATTTCCAGATGTAATGATTGGATTTTTTCAGCAGATTCCTGGAAATAATACTGCCATCTGGTGCTGATTAGAGGGAACTGAGACAAGGTTCTGAGCGACTTATTTAGGGTGTATGTGGTTTTGTTTGAGCTTATAAGTGCTAAGAATGTTTTAGAAAATGAAGAAGACCTGCTTGATTTCTGAAGCTTAACTGCAGACTACCTGTCTGTCCTGGACCTCTGTCTTCTCACCTGCCTGGAAAAAAGATGTATCTAAATGTTGTATCTTTAAATCTGTATCAGGTTTAATAGAAACAGAGACCCCAGAATGCTTCCCTGAGGGACTCCACATTAATGAAGATGTTTTCTTCATCTTTACCAGCAGGCTTTCACTGTGTTTTGTTGAACAGAAGATTTAGCTGTTAAACTTTTGGATTTGAGGTTGACTTGTAATTGATTGCACTGATTTATTGAACTTCTTCATTCATGATTTTTTTTTTTGTGAGATGAGGATTGATATTTAAAGGCTTACTGATTTTGGGATCACACTGTTCATTTGTAATGTTTGCCTTTTTTTGGTCATATCGTGGGATAGTTCAGCTTTAGTACGTTAAGTTACACTGCACTTTTTCTTTGCTACAATAGAAGTGAATATACAGCACAGCCCTATGAGGTTTATATGAGCAAACCTTTATGTAACACTTGATCCTTTGTAATTTCAGGTTTCTGTTTAGTATTATTAGCTGTCCCCACTGAAACCAGTGCAGCTGGAAGCCACTGTGCCAGCATCAAGCTGTGTCTCTTCCATTGTTAAGTCACTTCTTCATCACAGGTTTTCGATCAAACAGATGAAATGATCCAATATCTCAAACTAAAATTTGTGCAGCAGGTTTTATCACCTTTTGACCCCAGACCTGCCGACTGGGACCCACTGCGTTAGTCTCAAACAGGAATGTTAACGCTGAATGTTTGAAAGCTATTTTAACTCCTCAGTTTAGTCACAGTCAGCACGATGTTTGTTAAAACTTCACTAGAATCTGCTATAATGAGATGTTTTAAGAAACAAGAAGCTTTAGTTGTCTGAGTGTACGTTGATGAAAATAACTTTGTAATTAAACATTTTCTGATTTTCCTTTATTTATTCAACAGTAACAGTGCTAGAGCATATTATATGAGCCTTTATTAGTCATGAAGTTCCAACAAGGTCCGTCTGTCTTTAAGCCAACCACTGTCCATTGAAACTGGTGTAATGGACGCATTAACCTTGGATCCTTAGCACAAGCTGCTGGAGGTTGTTCAGACAAAAGTGGCCTCAAGGCATACCGCCAAAACGCTACTCGGGGAGGGAATGGTACTTTCATTGTAGCACAACAGCAAAGCTTGTAGTAAATCTATAAATGTTGTACCATCTGTACTTACTGCAGTAAGACCTGATTTTAAATAGTACGTTAACAGTACAGAGGTGTGTTATACTACCAGTATCATAACAATCATGACACATTTAGTCCTAGTTTATTTGCCATGTGAAGAACATGTGCTGCATAGGATGTTTATGGTAATGTGTGTGTGTGTGTCCACCAAACCTACATCCTTCTATCAGATGTATTTTGGGTACTGTAGTTGTTCCATGCAATGGTCCGCAGCCATACATGATTTCCCGCTGTGCTGCATGTTTGTGGCCTGTAGGTGGAGACTCTTCTTCACATTTGTTCTGTAGAGTTGACCAGCACAGGTTCTTGTGTCTGGTTTTGTTGCAGACTGTTTAAAACCTGTTTGAGATATTTAGACGTTTTTTTCCAGCAAACTAAAATCAAGGCTGAGTTATAAGGATATTACATTATTAGAACACTTATGTCAATGGAAGTGAGATTTACTTGTGTAACACAACCTGGAAGTTCAGGTTTCCCCTGGGCTGCCTGTGATTTTTAGTAAATACTATTATGTTCTTACTGGGGACATCATTATATGTTAATTGATAGGTCACCTTGCTTCTGCAGGTTAAGGAAAAGTAGTTTCATTCATATGTCTATGGGTCCATCAGGTCCTGCAGAGACCTTTAAAGAATAGAGAAAAAGAGTTTTACCATCTCCTAACTGGTTATATAAATTGGTTTGCAGTATAATTGAAAATTTCATCACAAAATGTTTCCTTGATCTGGATCATCTTTTAAGGTATGATGGGCAGTCATACTGTGCATCTTACCTGAACAATTCAGGGTTCTATCTTCATTATAGGGAAAGTTATGGCAGAAAATATGCATAAAATTGGATTTTCAATGTTAACTTTAAATGTCTGTCACAGCGGGAGTCTTAATTTTTTCATTAGTTTTAGTGATCTTGACCGTTTTCAGCCAAAATCTAATATCACTTTTGGTATGCTGATGATCCATCCCGCCAGTTGTCCAGAATCCTGCTAACCAGCCCACACACACAACCAAAAACAACCTCCTTGGAGAGGTAACGAATAAGCATTTGATTCAGACTACAGGGATTGTTCTGTGTAATATGTTAAACCTATTTTTACCTTGCTGCTGACGCGTTATTTTTATTGTGTTGTCTTCTTTATTATGATTATACAAAGGTTGTATTGTTGGCTTACAGTTGAACACTTTCCCAAATAACAGTGAGATTGATTGGTTGGTTACCGGAATGTGGGCGGGATTTCGAATACCCTTCACTGTCCATTGGTTGTTTGAGGAGCAGGACATCAGCTGCCCATTGGTTAGTTTTTAGAGCGGTGGGCGGAGCTCGGTTTGAACCGGAGTCCCGCTGTAGAGATTAGTGTCAGGTTTCTTTAGCAACAGTTAGCATGGAGCCAAGCTAATCCTCCATCATTTTTATTATCATCGAAGAGGTGTAAAACGGACACGCTCTTGGATCACGCTTTGTGGAATAGCACCGTGGTCTATAAGAGTGTGATTATCTCTGGTGTTACGGCTCGATTTGTGGCCGTGTTTTATCTTTCTGGATAACTTAATCAAAGTGTCATGGCAGAGGTAGCGGACTGTGTTTCAGCCCACACCGCAAAAAGGAAACAACCAGCGGGGAGGAAGAGCCGACAGAGCCAGCAGAAGAAGACGTCCAGCAGCCGGGTACGGTCTGATGCAAACTGTGCTAACCGTTAGCTCGGCTGTTGTTTCAGAGAGTTTTGCTGAAGGGCTGATGAATTACAAAACTCGCACTACTAAAACAAAAATTTTAAGCTCTGAATGTTTTGAGCTCTAAATAAACCAGAAGTAAATCTTTGCAACGGTAAAGTGGTGATACAGCTTTCACGGAAGGAAGCTAATGTTTAGACACATCATAAAGAGTTAATTTTATTAACATAGCTTTATTTTAGTTCAAAGTTCACACACTGCTTCACAACAAAAAGTAACGTTAGTGGACGTTAAAACGGGCGATGTGAGCTAAATAAACCTGAACTAGACTGCAGACTTCACACCGTGGCACCTGTAGGACAGGTTTTATTCCATCTGACATCTACAGTATTGTTGAAAAGATTTAGGCTTTTTAGATGTTCAGATTCAGACCCATCAGGAGGTGTCTGATCAGGCCCAGATTTATCCTGCCTGCAGCCTGACACTGAGCCGTAAAGACCTATATTCAGAGACCAGATGGACCAAGAGACCTGCAGCAGATGGTCTGGTGCCTACAGAGTCCTGATCCCAGAACCATGGAGTCAGCCTGGGATCACATGCAGAGACAGAGACACTGAGACAGCCTGGTCCACAGCTGAACTGTGGCAGTGTCTCTGAGATGCTGAAACAACCGACCTGCAAGGTACCTGGAGACTCTGTGTGGAGGTAGACTGAGGAGACCTGGTTAAAGGCAAAGGGGGTCACAGCAAATACCGGTCTGGTTTAGGTTCTTTGACATCACTGCTCTTTGGATGGAGTTCACTGATGGTATTGTGTGATGATAAGAATCTAAAGAGCCTAGAACGTCTGCACGGTGGTGTACATCTCAGCCACGTGGAGGCAGGGCTGCTGTAGCACCTCGGCTGTGGCTAAGAGCAACGTCTCCATGTCGAATCCCCTTGGGACCAGCTAAGTCTTGCAGCTGTGCAACAGTGGTCAGTGATGCTGCATCCCAGTGCCCCCACCCAGTAGAGTTCAGATTAGTCGATGAGCAGATAAGCTGTGAACTATTCTGAATAGTTTTATCTGGCTGAAAGGTTAAACATCCCCTAAGCCCAGATTCTGCAGTGGCTCAGGTGGGCTGTTTTGTGTCACATTAAGACATTAAGATGAATATATTTGGGGATTTAAAGGAAAAAGACTTTTGAAGGAACTGGCGTTTGAGTTTATGATGTTTTATAGATTAAATGATTTTGTATTTAAAAAACGGACACATCAGTCAATAACAAAAATAATTATCTGGAGTAACATGTCAGTGATGGATTAAATTTGTTTTATTGTAATATGACAAAATAAATCTGCAAAATCTCACATTTGAGAAGCTAAAACCAGAAAATATTTGGCTTTCTTTAATTTAAAAATTACCAACTATTATTTGAGCAACTAAAGAGTTTTTGACTTCAGAATAATTGAGTTTAAATGTTGCCGTTTGATAAGAAAACCTGTTTTCATTTCTGCCCGTTTGAAGAAGTTGAACATTTCTGCTGTGTGAGACACCATTTGTTAAATTGCCTGAGTTTTGTATGCAGTTTGGTTTGTGTTGTTGTAGGTGAGTCTAGACAAAGTTCTGGGTATCAGCACTGCCGGCAGCAGCGGTTTGACCTCTGACCCCAAGTCCGGGCTCATCGCCTATCCTGCAGGGTAAGCCCCGCCTCCTCTCACCTGTATGAAATGGTGATGCCCTCAGAAACCAGAAGGGCAGTTTGGTGTTTATGGGCACTGCTGGGTGTGATAACCACATCACCTTTTGTCTTTAAACCACAGAAGAAGATGCTGATCAGAAGCATTTTTCATTGTGGGAAGACCCTGATACTGACATCTGTTGTCTTCCCACCATGCATTTCTCTCAGTTTCAGTGCAGACATAAAGAGTTGACATCCTGCTGTGATTTAATTAGAATTAATTTGGCGGTTTGTGTTTCAGATGTGTCATCGTGCTGCTTCACCCGAAGAACAACAAACAGAGTCATATCATCAACACATCCAGGTAGATCTTCACCTCCACCTGCTCACTGAAAGCTTTTCACCTGCCACCTGTGACCCTAACCCAAACCTGCCAGCAGCCCGAGCCCTGACCAATCGCATCAGTGGAAATACTGAGGGCTCGTCCATACTGGATCCTGACAGGGACAGAGTCTACATTAATGTGATCAGTAATGGATATTTTTTTACAGAGCAATCACATGGTTGTGCTGTTTCAGGCTTTCCTGGGTCACTCTGGTTTAAAGCAGAGTTTCTGACAGACTGAGGGAGTCTACGGCCTCCATGCTGGTCAGAGCTGGGGTTTAAATGCACAGAGATGATTCGACTCCCGACTGAATTCCTGACTGTCAATGTTTTTACAGGCTCCAGCACTGCAGCTCAGAACAACACGAGGACACTGTGCTGATAATTGGTGTTTTATTAGAGAAAAGATCCAGACACTGTTAAATATGCCCCCCCATTATAAATGACCATCTGACTTTAGGCGTAACTCCTCCCACTGTCCTCTCCTCTCCGCTCTGGCTTCACTATAGCTTCTTTGTCATCAGAGAGAGAAGAAAATATAGCTGCTCCCTGAGAGATCCTTATACTTAGAGATGTCCCCATCCAGTTTGGGTTTGTTTTTCATCCCAGTACCGACCAGATTCCTTTAATGTTGAGTATCTGCTGATAGCGATCCAATACTTACATTTACATACAGTAAATGTTCATTAAATGACTGACAAATTGAAACTGAAATTAATCTGGCACACTGTATTTTTCAGGTGCTCCTGGATCAGGTCCTGGTTTTAAAATATAAAGTTTATTAACTTAAATTATTGATATGATTAAAGCAGTCAATAATACACAATTAAATGTGCCAAAGAAAGAATAACTGGGACAACCGACCCTCAGGACTACAGACTCATCACAGGTACTAACTACTAAATTTAAAATACTTTTGAATGATTTAAAATGCGACTTTGTTATCCATATGTGAACACACAGTTGGTGTAACCAGTCCAGATCTCCCTGCTTGGCCATTTAATAATGCTGCAGTAACAAAAGGTGGCAGCTGTCGTAGCTCCACCGGACAGAAGCTTCAAACCCGCCGTGTCTGCACCGAAAGCCCAGCGTGTCCAGCGCATAGCAGATATAGGGATGTAGTTCTAAATGAGGATTATTCTGGCTCATACCGATCCTGTGAAATACGCCGGGATTGGCACTGACACGATTCTTAGTATTGGATTGGGACATCGGGTTTACTTGTTGGTGCAGGATGCCGTTGTTGTTATGACAGTTCTTTAGGTTTCACTGCGGCTGATGCTGCTGGTGTTTCTGTTCTCGCTGTTTGCACGACTGCGTTTGAATCCCGTCTAATTGTCCTCAGGTCCCCCTTCTTCTTTTTTAAATTAATTTAACCACATTGGGTTCAGGTAGGTTCCCCATAGGTCGGCTTTAGGTGAGGTCGGAGATTTTGGGCCAGGGAAGACCTGTGCTGAGAACTGAAGCTGAAGATGTTTGAGTATACTGGTGTTTAACTGTGTTGTGTTTCAGGAAGCCCTTCAGTGCTCTGGCCTTCTCTCATGATGGAAAATACCTGGTCACTGGTGAGGTAAGAGCTGAGAACCACACACCTGAGTCTGCCAACACCCGAGTGACTTAAAACTGTTCATTCGGTTGCATAAAAATGGTTTAAATAGGTCTTAAATCAGTTACCATGGAAACTGAGCCCTCTCGACTCACCTGGAGTCTGTATTTAACTTAGTCTGGCTCTGTTTGGTTCTGCTTCTGAGCTTTGTACTGGTCATCCTGGGCAACCAGTATGTATCATGGAGCTGGTTTTCAACTGGTTCTGTTAACTGCATTTTCCTGCTGCTGTGAGTATGTTTATGTGAAACTGTCACAATCAGTCAGACTGAACCAGGAGTTTTTGCTCCTCCCAACATTACTCTTTGCTGCTGCACTGTAGACATGAGTTGATCTGTGGATTGGGTCAAATTGGTCACATGTTGACCTGATGCACAGATCCGCCCAACAGTCCTGTCAGTGTGTTTTTAAATTCTCTGATAGTAAGTAATGACGCAGACCCCCAGAGATGCCTGTTTTAATAGGAATTGCATAAAGCTCAGAAAGTCAAACCTGCACCTGTTTGAACAGTATTTCACCACGTTGTGTCGCTTCTATAAGTAACACAACCCATCTGATGCAGAGCTGAAATCGGTATAAAATAGTAAGGGTTTTATTGTCCTGCTGTGGAATGCACCACCTGGCTGTGCCCTGTTGGGACTGCCAAGTCATTTAAATGTTGTCCTACACATCCTGTGCACTAAAGGTTAAGGTCAGTGATTTTCTGTCTGTGTCGTTCCCCACCAACCCGGTCCAGAGACCAGCAGCACCAGTGAATCTGGTGTCCTAACCATAATCTGAATCCACACCCTGGTCCAGCTCATCGCTCTGTGCCACTGTTGTCCACCAGCTATTAAACCCCCCAGGGAGCCACACTGCTGCACTGGGGGGCAGGTTTCCTCCTCAGGAAACACAGGAGGCCGTCTGGTCTTTTTTTTTTTTTTTTAACATAGAAAATCACTGGCCTTATCCTTTAATGCAAGATGTATTCAGCACGTATAATGGAGAGACAAGTCGCGTCTCTCCACAATGATTGGACTAGAAGCAACAAACTTCTGGAGGAGGAGCGTTGACTTCATCACTGCTTGTTCATCACTGCCCGTCTTATTCTGCTGACTGTGTACTGAACTAATACTGTGTGTGTGTGTTTCAGAGTGGCCACATGCCCTGTGTGCGAGTGTGGGACGTGGATGGAGGTCAGGTGGCAGAGGTTCAGTCTCATAAATATGGAGTTTCCTGTGTGGCGTTCTCCACCAACAGCTGCTACATCGTCTCTGTGGGATACCAGCACGACATGACTGTTAGTGTGTGGGACTGGAGGGTGAGCACTTGCACAGCACCACAGAAACACACACCAGAGACTTCGCCAGCTCAGTAGTCGACAGTCGAAACCACTTGTATATGGTTTTGACACCATCAGATGTACAGAAGCTTCTACATCGAACAGCAGTGCTTGTGTAGATTTCGAGCTACATCCATTTGTACGTGTGACACTGTAACAGTCCTCTATTTATCAGTTTACCAGCTCATTATCACAGTAGGAGAATGACTAAGAGCATCTATAACCAGCACTTCCTGTGTGTTACACAATAAAAGCGTTTTAAACTATAGCTTGTTACTTGACTCTATGCAAGTGTAACTGACGAAACCTTGAATTAAAGTTAGAGCTGCAACATTGATTAGATAAACGCCATAACATTCATCCGCAACCATTTTTATAATGAATTTTTAAGCAAATGTTTCCAATTTTGTTTGCAGCCTCTCAGATTTTCCACCCTACTGTTCTACATTATAGTGAACTTAATGTTTGCGTTCCGAACACAGCAAGACATTTGAAGTCACCAGCCAGAGTTTTATCTGACATCTTATAGATGGCAATTAAAAAAAAGAAATTGTCAGATGAGTTGATCATTAAAGTGCTGATTAGTTGCTGCCCTAATTTACATGTGGTCTGTAGGAGTTAAACTGAACTTGAATCTGGCATCTGAGAACGTAAGAAGAGATCTGTGATACGTTTCTATAATGATAACATGACAAACATTTCAGGAAAAATCAGATCATCTTTATATAGAGGCCCAGTAATAATACTAATGATGATCTAACATTAACACAAAATGCTATCGCCTTGTCTGTGTCTGAGCAGAAAGGTTCGATCATCGCCTCCAACAAAGTTTCCAGCAGAGTGTTCGCCGTCTCCTTCTCCCAGGACAGCAGCTACTTTGTCACCGCAGGAAACCGGCACGTCAAGTTCTGGTACCTGGACGCCTCCAAAGAACGACGGGTACATCAGCCAGTCACAGCTCATCTTGCTGTAGCTTGATTTGATTTGATTTGATTTATTCTTTCAAACATGCAGAACAAACGACATCAACACACACATAATTATACAAATCCAACCAATGCTGATTCAGAATCAGTTTGCTTATACCTAGTACATGTTTGAATGGAGTAGGAAGAAGTCAGACTTATCCAGTCCTACCCCATAACATCATCTTATACAAAAAATTTCATGCATCATTGGCTGCAAGCAGTATCTCTACATAGGTAATTCTCTTCTTCACCAACAAGTAATACACAGAAAATTTAAAACAGTGTGTTTCCTTCCTGCATTCTTGATTAAATCTCTTATTCTTGCATGTATCTTGAATGACACATACATTTATATTTATATTTAAACTCCTCGATTCTATTACTATTTTTTATGTCCACACTTAAATTATTCCATAGTTTTACTCCACTTATGGAAATACAGAATCTTTTTTTGGTTGTACGTATA